GAATAAGGGACGGACAGAAAGAGGAAGAGAAGGTACGATCAAGGGCTTTGTCCAAAACAAACGACGATCTTTTTTTATCTCTTCTTTTTTTCTTCCTTTCTCTAAACTTTCATCCGGTGGATTCGATGCGACGTTCATGCATAAACATGACTGGGCGCGTGCAACGTCACCGCAGAGGAAATTTTACTGAAATAGAATCAAAGGGGGAATGCATTAGACATGAGGTCTTTTTGGTCTACGGAAAAATTTGGCTCCCCCGTGCTCGTATGTTTGTTGCACGTCATTGCCTCGTTGCTTCAGAATGAAGTACCATATCGATACCTGTGGGTGGGAAAAAAAATGATGACATCCCGATTTTCAGTTTGAAAAAGGTACAGCAAGGTGGTGAAAAAGTTTTTGTCACAGATTGTTAGAAGAAAAACTTGACGAATAAATTTTTCATCGACTTCTCAGATGGTTTTTCACCTTGTTTCAACGCGCCACTCGCAAAACTGCTCCTGCGTCTATATACAAAACATGTGCGTACACGCAAAAAAGGGTAAAAAAAATGCGCAGCTTCTTCTTGTCCCTCTCATCCATCTTTTAACTTTTTAAACTTTTGGGGCCTCCATTCCAAATTCACGACAGGAAACATCACTTGGGTGGAGGAAGCAGTCGCTCCCAGAAACGTGCTCTCATGCAAATCAAACGGCAAAAATATGCAGCTTCATCTCCTTCTCTCAGCACACTTTTTGTTTTTTTTTTTTTTTTTTTTTCTTTCGAGGGTCCAAAGGAGAAGACGGAGATGAATGTCGCCGGTGTATCTGAAATAGTGGAATTAAAGTTTGAAGCGCGCACGTGCTCCCGGAGGCTTATATACATATAGGAGCAAAGCTTATCTTGCTCCTGCTCAGAGTGGCTCGGCTGACGTCGCCAAATGAAGAACGACCCGCTTGGATATAGTGCTAATTGTGATACAATATATATTAAAGTCACGATAGAGGTCCTCTGTGCGAGAGTGGGTCGTTCTGGGAAATGTATACGGATGTGATATACGTGTACGTTTTTGGGTGACGCTCCCTCGTCTCGGATTATCGGCTTTGTCGGGTGGATTTTATCCAAATCTAAAAAAAGAAAAGAAAAAAACAGTTTTAACAGAAAAACATCGTATGTCACTATGACTAGAGTGAATAGCAAAGATCGTGGAATCATCTTGGTTTATGTATGACGCGACGACGCTGGAAAGAGCCTCGAGACTTAAACAATGATTCGTGCATTAATTAAATATTGACGAAGCGTATATTTTTTTTTCTTTCCTTTTTCTCAAAGAAAGAAAAATTAAAACAGTGTCGTGATATCTGGCGCTCGCGTTTTAGTTCCTCCGCGAGCGAACGTGTCGCCAAAGCTCAACTTTTCTCTCATTATCATGAACCACGCAAGAGTTATAATTTTTTCTGTTCTCGATTCCTCATATTCCCTCCAGCGAAATTCGATACCTGTACACTCGTACGCGCGAGTTGATTGCAGCTGACCGGTATATATATACCTTAAGTAATTCACGCAGTTTGCGTGTAACGTGTGTATAAAAGGCACTAATGCTCCGTGCCTCGGACGATTTTTACCATAAACATCAGGGATAATACGTAGTAGACGCGTGTACGCGCGAGCGTTAAAAAGAAAGCCCGAGAGATAAGAGCGTCGTATTTTTTCGTGAATTCCCAGCAAGATCGAGCGAGTAACTCGAAGATATATCTCTCTCGGGGCTTGCGCGATGGCTCAAGAGAGGAAGTGCCTAACGGACGAATTTATATATTTTTCAGGGCCTCTTTTTTTCGGCTTATACATTAACGTGAATAACATTCGTAGATAGGCTGACCTACTGAGAGTTCCGGACGACCGAAGCTGTTGTGTATCAGCAGCTGGTCCGATGAGTGATATTTTAATCGAGACGGCTCTGCATGAAATCATTTACCAAAGGTTATTTCACGATTTGCGAGAAGTTTTCTTTCTTTTTCCTTCTTTTTTTAGTACATTGTGTTCATGCCGATAGATAACGAGCGTTGGGTATACTTACGTTCTCTCGAGAGGTATGTATACATGATTGTTTTTGTGTGCCATTATTTTGGAACACCAAATAGTTTCGTGGTCACAACTTTTCTTTTGGTCAAACGTTAACATTCATCATTGTTGCACCAAAAACGAGTTATGTATATATATTACCGACAGAAAAAAATCCGACATTGATATTATTTTTACAATTTGCTTTTATTTTCAAACGATTTCAAAGCTATTGGCTGTGGGAGCTTGAAACAACTTGTTTTCTCCTGCAGGATGTACTTTGATACATCAAAACCAAAAAACCGTCCAAGTTCATGAAAAAAAAGCGATTCACGATCTTCCCTCGAAAAAGAAAAAAAAACCGGCACGCAGTCCGGCGAGTCACAACGTCCGTGAATATATATGGAACAGCTCGTGAGCCCGTCAATCATTTATGGCGACTCTGCACCATCAACGGAACGCGAACAACAACGCTCTCCCCTCGTCTACTTCCTCTTTCACGTGTCCAAATAAAAAAAAAAAAAAAAAAAAAAGCCGTCACAAATCCTCTTGGTCCTCCGTTCCTTCTCATTACGGCGTATACAAAAGGTCCACGTCAACGGAGAATCACGAGGTACAGGGAGAGAGGTGAGGTGTCGCGCGAAAATGATCGATGGTCCCGCGAGAAGTCAAACGAAGGGAATATTATCGTATACACCACGCAATGGGCAAATTTGCGAGTTGGCTTCTCAACGAACAAAGAAAATGTTTGTATCAAGCGAGTAGGTATGATTCCGGTTCAGCCAACTCTATAAACTTCAAGTAGCGTGTCCACGAGAGAGGAATCTTTTAAAATGTATCACATCCGAAAAAAAGTCTTTTTTTATTTACATCTGGATGAATTTTCCATAAAAAAAAAAAAACCACCGGCTGAGTCAACACAATAGCAGAAGCAGCGGTAACCAGAGACGGATTTAATTTCAAGTTTTTCCCGAGATTAATTGGATCTCTCTCTCTCTCTCCCCGGGGACCAAAGTTCGTCCTGGCTATCGGAGATTCTCCGGCTGATGGAAAAAAAGCGCAGTCATCCGATCGGGATACTTACTTGACGAGTTTCCAAGAGACCGACATCACAGGCGGGGATGAAACTCTGCGGAAAATTTTCTGGACTAAAATGAAAAACCTAGTTAAAACCCCCTGAATCGTGTAACATCCATCCGGGTGCGCTTGGTGTCACTGCTCTGTGCTTTGACGCACCAAAAAAAAAAAAAAAAAAAAAAAAGTCATCCTCTCTTGCAAGTACACATATCAAAGACATACACGGCGAGGGAGTTGCGGTGTACACGCGTCGGTGTGAATCTCAGGTGTATACACAGCTGCGGGAATTTCAAGCTTGACTCATCAATGCCGGCTGATCAATTTTATCCGTGTATCCGCGCGGAAGGTTGTTTGCACACAATTGCGCAACGGAAGCACCTGCGTGCGCGTCTTCGGATTTTTATCGTCGCGATGCTTTTGTTTGTCGCAACACTACAACCTAAGTATGGGATGAAATCGTTTGATCGAACGATGGTGTACAGGTGGGCGATGTCTCCTGCACTGTCGTCAACTCGAGTACCGAAACACGAAAAATTCTCAAGTTGTATGCCCCACGGCGTATTAAAGCCACGACGGACCACGCACCTACCAACAAGCGATATAAATTGCTCATCCGAGGTCTACCCTTGCAGTCTCGATTTCGAGACTGTCTATTAATTTCAATCTCAGCTCCGTTTGCTCGTCGTCGTTACAAATTAAGAACAGGTAAAAAGTTTTCTCCTCCCTGCGGAGGAAACGCGAAGGGGCCGTGTGCACGGGGCTCATGCATTTTCCAACAGCCATTACCCGGAGGGCGAGCCTTAACGGTATCAAAAGAGGGGAGGGGACGATACCGAGCTTCGCTTGTATATGCATACCCCGTTTCGAGGCGAAAGGCCAACGCCAGCCGCAATCTCGCCTCGGCTCCCTTCCCCCGACCCGTTAAGCTAATGACGCGAGAAACCTCCTCTGCACATCCTATCGCTGTCGACGTCTTCCAGGGACACTCGCGTCGTTGCCCGCTGAGACTGTGGATGCGCGAGTGTCCTTCGGCGTAGAGCTTCTGTCCCGTCCTCATTGTAAACTGGCTCTCGATTGTATGCGGGACAGTTCATACACGATTTAGGTGCGAGAGGACGTTTCTTGTTTCGCGTAGCCGCGAGATCTCATGATACTTTGTGCAAATACCTACTTTCGCTTCGCCAGTTCAGTTTGTACTTCAACGGGGTGTCGCGATTTCGAAAGAATCAAAACACCGTTGCGAGACAGTAGGATGTCAGCGAGGTCGGGCATTTAAGTCAAAAGTTGGCGGACGCTGCTCCGTTTGTATGTATCCTCTTGAATTTTTTACGAAAATCAACGGAAACTTCATCAAGCTGGCTTGATTTTTCGTTGGCTCATCCCTTCGGCACCCCGCGCATATACACCACCCGTAAATGTTAATTTTAAATTCAAAAGTATGCATATAGTACATTCATCCTTTTTGTGAAAGTCCATGACTGCATGTACCTATCCTGACTCGAGTGGCCATGCCTTATATATTTGTATACTTTATCTTTAGTCCGTAAAAATGTACTCGACTAATCGCACCATTGTTTATGATTATTTCGCAGGTTCCGGACCTCCCTCGGGTGCACAGTAACCTCCACGAGTCGTCGAGGCCACAGCGGAGGGGACGGGGAGAGCCGGCTTCGTCACCCCAAGCAGCAAGCGGTTCTCCGTGCGTCAGACGGAATTTCTTCTTTTTTTTTTTTTCTTCTTTCCTTCCCAACTCTGCGGTCGCGCGGACACGTTTTTCGGCCCGATAAAACAACCGAGCGCGGTTGGGGCCCCGCGATGCGATACCATCGGGAAGGCGCGCGGACATTTCGCAACCGGCACACCGCGGTACCAGCCGGTACGGCTCGTTGCGCGCTCGGGTAACGGACAAAGGCTTTTTGGAGCACAAGATCGCGGCTCGCGACAGATAACGCGCCGTGCACACGTGCAGTCTGGCTGAACGAGCCGCGAAATGCCGATACGCCGATCGGGCTGACCGATTTCCATAGGTTCAACGCGTATACCCGACTTTCGGGAGGAGGGAGATCGTTGCCCGATCTATCATATGTGTAGTACTCAACCAGCAGTTTTCTTCCCTCGAGGCTCCAAGTGAAGAGGTACCGATGGCTTGCCCGGCTCCTGTTGACGATCGGCCAAAGTGACGTGGGGAGTTTTTTTGTTTTGTTTTCTACACGTTGATTACGTTGTGGTGCAGCGCGCGGCAGAGATGGCCAAGTGTCCAAGACTCGGGGGGCTCGTCCTTGTGGCACTTCTGGCGCTGTCACCCTCAGCACCTGCAGCCTCCTCCGCCTCGTACGTCGATGACCGAACGGTGAGTACCTTATACACTTTCATACAAAGTTTCGTAACATTAATGTTTGACCGTAGCTACACTAGGTTTCCTTTTTTCTTTTTCGATCCTATATATACAGCTATTAGCTCCGTAAAAACTTACGAAAGCTTTTAGACGGATATTCTCGCGCCGTTTCGGAAGTAACACTTTGCGCTAAAGCTAAAAGCTCCGTACGAGGTTAGCCACTTGCCGATCCGCTGGAAATCCTTTCGTCCTGGAAATTGTATCGTCAACTGAGCGCCCGTTTTCCGCTGGAACGACGGCTCTTGTGCCTCGAAGGACGAGTGCAGCATCTCGCGTTTTTTAGTGCCCCGACAAGTTTATGTGTATATATATTGCCCGTACTTACTTCTGGTATACTTGAAAAAGCTTTCGCGATAACTCGTACAAATTGAAGTGTAAGTACCGCCTTTTCAGAAAATCATTCGAGTTTTCGACTTTTAGTTCGAATGGTTTTTTTTTTCTCCCCCTCGTTATACCTTGGGGGGGTAAAAATGAGCCAAGTAGTTGATGGAGTACGCGGCGGAGAGTAGCTTAAAGGAAAAAAAAAAATCCAAGGTGGATGAGAGCAAAATGTAAAAATAAACTTTGATGCTGGAAAATTTGGATTAAGGAATTTGTACGGCGATTCTAATGAAAAATCCTCTTCTCGTTGCAAAAGTTACGTATTTACCCTGTCAAGCTCATTAAAAGTTACAGGGGGGGGGGCGTGGTCACATGATTCATACTTGAAAATAGCGAAAACAATAGTAATAATAAGAGGTTCAACCGCTAACTAACCACACGAGACCAAACTCTGCGAAACATTCCCTCCCTCGTTGCCGCGCTCGCTGACGACGCAGGAACTTGGTTTAGAGCATTTTTTTTTGTCCCTGCTCTTACTCACACGTGTGCGTCTTTTTTTCGAGGCACATCAACGCAGGTGCGGGAGAAACCAGATGACACTAGAGCGAATTATTTTTCCCCGTCGCTGCTTCAAAAGAAATAATATTTATACCTTCACCTAAATGTTAAAAAAAATAAATAAACAACTGACAGCTGCTGTACCTTCGTTGACTTTTGCTGTATGTTTTTTTTAAAGTTTTTTTTTTTCAGTCGAAAATTACCACACGCGTGGGAACTGCACGTATATATATAACGCAATCGTACCGGGAGAGTTGGCCCATTCGTTAGGTATTCTGGTAATTTTCGGTATTAATTTTCAAGAAAATTCTTCACCAAGCTCGTTTTTAGTTGAAAATAATCATCAATATTAGTATCATCATCATACCACATTCTGTACTGACAATGAAAATTTTAAACACCAGTAATTAATTTTTCGTCATCCCCGACAGTAAAGTTTGTTGTTTACGTCCGCTTAGTAGGACGTAAAGCGACAAATGTACGGCCACTGGATCCCTTACTGTCCGCTGAGCGAGGCGCTTCTACGAGGTCCCTGCTCTCAAATGCACACTGATTATCTATCTATATGTATGATATCTATAACGAATATTGGCATCTATGTATATATGGCGGCCAAGTGTTGTGTTGTAGCTGTATTTTTTTTTTTGACGGCCAGACGCATGTGCGCATTGTCTTTTCACCTTTTCAATGCCTTCTGCTATTCGCCTTTATCGTTGCGTCGAGTCGGTTCACGCCTATATTAAATATAGCATTGCCCATTTTTTTACCTTCTCTTACTTATCGTTTACCGTATGATCTGTTTCTCGTCTCTTGTGTACGTGTAATCAAAATAACCACTACGTGTTTTTTTAACAAAATTTATTTCAAGTTTAGAGTTACTTGTAGGTAATGGTGGATAAATTTTCATGGTTATTGGACTGCTACCTTGAAAGTCTCGCGCTCTATATGAAAAAGCACATATTCAATACATGGACTGGAAAACCAAGAATGAAGTATCGTTTAATGAAAGTTTTTTTTAGTGTACTTTGAAGAACTATCAAAAAAAATATGTATTCTAGCATTCACTGTTGAATTATGCGTATGTTTTTTTATGATCGATCGGTTAGTTCAATTATTGGGCACGTTCGATTATCTATCGTTCGTTCGTTCGCACTTCATTAGGATCTCGGTGTATAAGATCAATGCTTATAACGTGTCCAATGTATACCCTATCGCAGGTGCGTTACGATGGTATAATATATTATATACATGTAATTTACGCGTGATCCAATTAAAACTTGTTCATTATTATTGGCAATTACGAAAACGTTTTTTTTTGTTGTTAAGTACTGTTAACAATTTTAACGATTTTCGCAATTATTATATAACCTCGCGCAAGCTTCGACGCCTTTTTTCGCCGTTCCATTTCGAGTCGTTACCCCTGAAAAAAAAAAAAAAAAAAAAAAAAAAAACTCCCATACCCTTACACGTCCAACAGGGCGAACTTCCGCCCTTTGGGGTGCTCAAAACCATTTGCAAGCCGGTTCATTACTAACGAGCGTCGGAAAACTGTAGGCGACAAGTCACAGGGGCAAGGAAGAAAGGGAGAGGAAAAAAGGTCAACGCGGGTCTTTTCTCCTCTTGCTTTCACGCGCACGCACGATTGGGGCCAAGAGGTCGTGGCAGCAGAGGGTGACTCGGGAAAAAAAAAAAATCATCGACTTGATCGTACTCTTGCCAAATGAAATTCACGCACCTGTAAGTATTACCTTCTCTCGGTTTGATGCAAAAATATTATATTATAGGCAGGAGGGGAAAAAAAATACGCATCTTTGAGATTTTCATTGTTGCAAGGTCTGCGGCACTATAGGTATACTTGTACTTGTTCGGCTTTACATACTTGACATCGGTCGACAAAAATGTAATAACACCTCGGCACCTTTTCGTACTTACCTCCCTCTTCCGTTATTATTATCATTTTTTTTCGCGCACGTGAATCATTTCATTGTCACCAACACCGTAATGTAGCTACGGATAAATTCTTGCATGACGTGTTGATTGGAAGTCGCGTACTTCTCGAGGTACTTCTACTACGTTTGGCATTGTCCACGATACAAGATGCAGATAGCAATCGTCCCGTAAGTGCAATTGAAAAATAAAAGTTCGAAAGGAGAGATATGATACAAGCTCGGATACAAGTGTTCGTAGTACAAAAACGTTCTTTGCCATTTCGACATTTTTAATGCTACGTCCCATTGAAGGGTTATCGGTAGCAGACAAGACGCCTATACAATCAGCCATTGTGTCACGTATAGACCCACTAGAAATCGTGTATATATTAGTCTTTGTACGTGTGCGTAAACCCTATACTTTACATGCATAATATATAGCTCAACTCCGTGGCACGTGTATAGTATAACAAGTATCGCTAAGATAAATGAATCGATCGAAAAAACAACTTATTTTAAATTAATAAGTTTACTCATCGAATGTTTGCAATAACATTGTCGTGGATCGATCAGTGAACATTATATAAGTCATTGTGTTATTTCGTACCTATTTAAAAAGCTCAAGTTTATCTACTGTTTCAATTGAATGAAATTTTTACTCCTTCCAATTTTTGAAGAGTATTATTAACATTATTACTTCGACGATGTTAAACTACTTTTTTTTTTTTTTTTTTTTTCAACACTTTCAAGTAGTAACAACGTCGCAGAGGTTATTATTCCTTTTTTCTCTCGAGGGAGTAAGGGTGGGGGGAGGGATGATTCTCCCCTCGCCTTTAATTATGCTCCTTTCCATTCTTCGGGGCCCTCGTAGGCTATCTTCATCTCATTATTTCCGCGTCGTTGTATTTTCTATAATCCGTGAGCTAAAGGAACTTGAAGTGAAACGAGAAAAAGTTTTGCTTCCAGTTCCGACGTTGCGTTTTAGTTGGTGCCCATTCCCCCCCCCCTTACCTCCTCCTTTTTTTCATTTATTCTGGTACTTAACTGTAGCGTACCGGTAAAGTCATTGTTGGTATATATACCTATACAACGCGTACACGAGTTCTTTTCTCATTGTTTAGCACTGGATGGCTTTCTTTTAGTAAATTTATATGGCCTTGCAATCGCATCTTTGACAAATGGGTGTGAAATTCCACTTAATTTTCGCGACAATCCAACAATTATTTGTACCCACGGGAAAAAAGATACATACACCTTACAGTGTATACCTGAGGTGGAAGATCCAAACATTGTATAGACACGTGCCATTTTTTTTCTTTCCTTTGTGATCCTTGTCCATCAATATAACGTCCAGTAATAAAACGATCACTCGACCCCAAGACTAAGTACATATTTTACATACTCGGGTTATCGTATCAAATGGCGAGCCTGACGAAAACAACACCCGAACAGCCAGGCCTCTCAACTCCAAAACCAACGACACTTGCTCCAAATGCACCTATTTATATATGTATATACACCCCTTGCTATCATCTGCCTCCCACGCACCGTGGCACATTATTTCGCTCCCTACGTCAGAATAGAAGTGGGGAGAAGAGAAACGAGAACACACATCAGCTAGTTCCCTCGATATCGCCACTCTACCGTATTCTCCTCTGCACCGGCAAAACACACCGATCCCACTCGTATACGTATACACATACCCGTATATTTATGCACATTCGCGGGTACTCCCATGTATATTATATTGTTTTCACTCAAGAGATTGGCATTGTTTTATATATAAGCATCGCCGCGCGACCCCGTAAGTAGGTATACATGGATTCAAAGAGCGCGCGAAGGAGCAAATATTAAAGTCTCTTTGGAGCTTTTCCTGATGATGCTTCTTGCGCTTCCCTCCTTGACTCGATGAAAAGTGACACAGTCACGCTTGTAGCGTATGTATAAATACATTATGAGCCTGCACTCCGGTGTCTTTAGGTCTCGTGAGATGTGCGTGTCCATCAATACCAAACCTCCCGCGTTCACCCTGGTTCGCTCTTTTCTCTCCCCTGCCATGCTTTCAAGTGGTGATTACGAGTGTACCTATACGGCTCGTAAGTATACCTAAAGTAAACAACACTACACCGACTGACCCATTATTCTCCT